GCCCTCTCCCTGGGCATCTTCCGCTGATCTGATGCCAGCCCGGCTTCTGCTCCTCCCGGAGCTCCTGCTCAGCCACCCCCACCTAAGACCACCATCCCCTGCCCCGCCCCCGTTCTGTGCCTCCCAGGGAGGAGCCCCCGTTCCCACTGCCCTCCTCCACGCCGGGCACCCGGCTGTGCTCCGCCACCCCCACCTAGGAAGCCAACACCCGCCCGCCGGCCCTGCCTCCCCTCATGAGTTGCCCGACGCGCCCGGCTGCCAGGCACCCCACGGTGGCCACACCTGCTCCAGGCTCTATTTCTCCACCTGCAGGACGGGTGGGCCCTCTCACCCGTGTCCCACCTGCCAAGGTCCTGGGTGCCCTGGCCCGGGCCCTGCCCATGGGGTCCCCTAGGAGGCCAATGAACGGAGGGCGCTATGTCGCGGGGGATCCCACCCTGACCTCCACTGTGCCTCTGTTTCCCCAGCCGCGGCGGGATGGGGTGGTCCCCAGCCTGAGGGCTTACCGCTGTAGGAGTCAGGTGGCCGCGAGAGATCAGGAAGGGCGCCGGGCTGGCTGGGGAGGGTGGCGTGGTTGTGCATGAGGCCGGCGCTGCCAGCGAGGCCGTCCTCCGAGTGGCCGCCGCCAACCTGCGATGGGGGAGGAGCATCAGGCATGGGCCGGGTCCCCACCTCCGCCCCCGCCTGCCCGTCCGTCCCAGGACTCACCAGGCCAGCGGGGCGCCCAGCCAGTGCCACGGAGCCCGCAAAGCCTGAAGCCAGCGCCCCATGGCTGGGCAGGAGCCCGTGCAAGTCGCCAGTCGTGCCCACGGCGTGGCTGCGAAGCACGTGGATGGCCTCGTCGAGGTGGTCCTCCATCTTGTTCTGCTGCGGGGTGGGATGGGCCGTGAGGGGATGGGCCTCAGGGACCGGGCGCGGCCGCCTAGGGCCCCTCCTGGGAAGGCGTTTTCGGCCGGGCAGGGTGGCTCCCATCTCCAATCCCAGCACTTCGGAAGGCCGAGATGAGAGGATTGCCTGAGCCCACAGTTCGAGACCAGCCCGGGTAACTTGGGAGACTTTGTCTCTACAACAAATAAAATTAGCCCAGGCGTGGTGGCTTGCGTCTATAGTTCCGGCTACTCGGAAGGCTGAAGCAGAAGGATCACCTGAGCCCAGCAGGTCAAGGCTGAGGTGGCCATGAGCATGCCAATGCACTTCAGCCTAGGTGACAGTGAGACTCTGTCTCAAAAAAAAGACAAAAGAAAATGCTTTTTTTTTTTTTTTTTTGAGTCAGAGT